AGCTCTGTTATACGATCATGGACATGGGCAGACACGCTCTGTTCATTTTAGGCATTTGCGTTGAGCGTTGATCAAAATACCAATTGCAGTGATCTATTTTTATACTGATCAGTCTGAGTGTCCGATGGAACCACTGAGCAGAACCCGTGTGTGCTCGAAGAAAGTGCATTAGCGTTGGTTAATCACTTTGTAACAAGATGCTCTGATCTACAGTCCCATCATGTGCGCGCGAACAGTTCCCCTTCGCTTGGTTCATCTGAGACCTACGTATGTATTGAAACCTCATATTTGAGAGCAATCATACGAAATCAATGAGATATTATCTTGTATATTTCCTACGAAATCACAGATAGTTTCGAGTTGCCTGACTACAATCCCGACAGGTAAACAGAAAGAGCATGTGTTCATAAATTGACTTCGAACGAGAACGAACTGATGTCCCAGTGAGAGATGATGGTTATTATACAACAATGTCACGTTGTGGAAGCATTTTGCATTCATTCTGTGTGAAACATATTCGGGAGCAAATCGATACTTCTCATCCGCACGAATAGCATGCGCAGATTCTCAATGGAACAAGTGAGTATTGTTCAGGTGTCGTGCTTTTTCATTCTTTCACAGTTGAAGTTGATCTAAAACACTTTGATTAGGCCGATCTGTTTGAAAAATTAATACTTTCAGTTTCATCGACTCGAAGAAAAAGTGAACAAATTATTGATTGATTGGTGCGTTTTTTTTAAATACACACCAGTGTGTAATGAACAGCAGTCGGGGCGGACCCCATAGTCACGGGAACCTGTCGTTCAATGATGGTAACCGGCAACGGAATCCCCGGGACTTGAAGTGATGAACCACATAAGGCCCAGCTGATTCGGGCGTGCTATAGAGCCCGGCGACAGCACAGCTACCTACCAGCAAAGTTGGGTGGCAGTGGCGGGGCTCAAACCTCGGGCCGGTATGGGCCAAAGCACGCCGGTGACAGCTACCACATCACCGCACCTCCACCACCCTATATCTGTGCGCACTTGTTCAGCTGATCCAAAATGATAATTAACCGAGTGGATAGCAGTCTATTCCTCATTCCGAAATCTCTCACTCGATTATCGTGACAACATGGCTAGTGGCATACACAAATTGGGGCTGATTTTTTGTCAGAATTTGCCTCCTCCAAAAATCTCGAGTGCAACGATAAAATATTTGGAAAGTAAGTTTTACACCGGTGCGATGAAATATCGATTCACTGGTCTCCGGGAGAAACTCACTCATGAAGGTTGTTCTACAAAACGATATTAATCTCTCAGTGCATACATAGACTATAATATGTAGGTTGAAGATACATAAAACAGAAGTCAGTGTTCGCTTCATTATTAGCCTTTCATAGTTGTCGTAATTTGGCTGTGCGTGAAACGGAGAAGGAACACGCGGTGTGGTCAATACAGTACAGTATTGCAATAAACGGGTTTTCATTAGCTACTCATCCTAGAAAAATACAAAAACTCTTAAACTGGAGAGGTTCGAACAGTGACCTAAATATTTTGGTTGATATTTATCCTTTTTCGAAACCACTACTAACATGCGTTCATTCGTTCATCCTCCTCGTCCTCCTCCTCATCCAAATCATCATCATCATCATCAACAACATACAGCGTAATACACTCAGAAGAACCCTACTGATCGCTGCCAAACTCGCAACGCATGCAAAGCTAGTAGTAATATGTTAGGAGAATAGGAGCTGGGCGTAATTTTTTAGAGGGCGTAGAAAAACATGAACCTCTACGGTCAAAACACGGAGTACGCGCAATTTAACTGAGCATACATACATTTCCAAGCCTTCTGACCTGATAGGAAATGATAACAAGAACGCCACTGCTGTCTTTTCGCTGCCATATTCCCCAGTGTATCCAACCAACCAGTTGCAGAGTCTTTCGGACCCCAACTCCACTAAATTCTGGTTAGGATAACAACCGAACAGTTTCAGTTGGTTAGACGTTTGTTGTATAAAGGAGCAAGATGAGACTGTTTTGTCAAAACAGAGCTTTGGACGGATTTTTTGCTTGATTCTGATTAACATTGCGCAGTTTTGTGTTCGACCGAGGCTCCAACTGCGAACCGTCTCGGTTGGAAATTACGAACTCTATGCTTGGTCTATACAATTAACGACGGGACTGTTGCCTAAGTGGCCGTATTTAGAATTGTGTTTCAGATGACAGAATGCAGTACTGCGTAATTACCAGAGACTTTGTACATTAGTTGATATGCCTTTAGGGTGTCGGTTTCACTCCTTGGTCGTTCACTTCTTCAACACTCAAAAAAACCATGGTTATGCGATCACCGGAAAGTCTACTCAAATTCACACGGGATAACCGAATTTTACACTTTCACAGCTTTCATTTTTTGCACAGATTTCTTTTCAAATACTAAACTGTGAGTAACACAAAAAACCTGTTCATTAGGATACCATCACCTACCATCAGCGCAGAGGGATTTATCACAGTATCCGTTTGACTACTGTGCTGCAGAAGGATCATTTAACAGAAGCAGTGCATTGCACGCCTAATCAGTCAATATACAGGCATAAAATCACCGAAACAAATTAAAAGTTTACTCCACACATGTTCCTGCCTGTATTGATCAACTGTGTGGCTGCCAACATGCTAAGAGGAACCAGCTATTGTTAGACAGTGAGAGTTGAATAGACCGTATTCTCAACAAATCGAACGATAAAGCAGTCAATTGTGAATAATCAACGTATCCGGATTTTCCGAAACGTTCGTGCGCGAGGGTTTCGCAGTTCGAACTGAGATGCATGAACTGTCTCAGGTTAGCTACCATTTGAATTTCACTTCCCGTTTCGTGTCAGTTGGATTTGCGGTTTGAAATGAACTACGGTCAACCAAGCAAAAAACGACTAACTGGAAACTGTATGCTACTACATTTTGAGCACAACAGGAATTTCTCGTTCAGACGTTAAATCGCGATTTCTGTCCTAAATTTTCACCGCGGAACAGTCAGAGTTATGCATGTCATGCTTTCATGAATGGATTAACGTTTTTAAATGTG